CATACTTAACAAGTCAGGTAAGCCGTAGAGTAGACACGTGATAAATTCAGAAACGATAAATGGGTATTTTTTAATGCTTTTTTTTAATTGGATTGCAATAGGGCAGATTTTTAGAGAGCTGTTATTGTGATATAGATAGTATGCGTAAGGCCTGTTGTAATATAAAGTTTACCATCTTAAAATTAAGACAATCTTCGAATTGTCGTGTGAACTCACTCTGCGACATCAGCAAACCAGCTGCTAAATCATTGAGACTACAGTGTGGTAACATTATCTCTGGTGGAAGAGTGCCTTATGATCCCCACGGGTAGATACCACCACCCTGCCTATTTTTGTAGTGAAGCAGTAATGCGTTTCGGTTTGAAGGGTGGTTGGTACAACTATTATAGGATTGAGATTCAGACCTCAGGTCTGTCAGTGAGTTCGTTTAGCTTAAATAATAAAAAACATTACCAATTATCGCCCTTCACAGTGAAGATGGGTATAATTTGGCCGGATTTTTTGGTGAGTTTCTTAATCTATGTGCGTAAGTTTAAGATACGAATACAACTTTTCTTGTTAACGTAGATGGGACACCACAGCTCACTGCCCACCTGGTGTTAAGTGGTTATCTGTGCCCATAGACATCTACGACGTAAATGCGCCACCCACCCTGAGATATAAGTTCTAAGGTCTCAGTACAGTTACAATGGCTGCCCCATCCTTCAAACCGAAACGCATAACTGCTTCACGGCAGAAATAGGCGGGGTGGTGGTACCTACCCTCACATGAGGTCCTACCACCAGTAAGAAACTCTGTCAACACCAAAAACTGAATATCGGTCTGTAACCTGTGGCATAAATTGAAAATCATACTTACAACGTAACGAAGGCTGACCATGACAACGAGAATACTACTCTGTCCATTATCATCATCTAAAACAGGCCCGAAATTAATACGCGCATATATCAAACATCAAATTAGACGTAGCACTTGTGGTAATGGAGTTCGTTTGGGGTAATGAATTCAGTGGTGCCTCTAACAAACACGAAGTCTAGCCGCAAATTTGATAACCGATAATATATATTCCAAAGTGAGAAAAGTTAAGGGTAAAGCTGTGGCCTAGTATCTCACTGGGAGAGGCAGAAATATATTGCAAACTATCTGACCCGGCAGACTTCGTAGTGCCTCAATCGATAAATAAAAGACACATCAAGGGGACACATCAAAGGAAAACCAAAATTGTTTTAATTTTATTTAATTCCGAGCATTTTCATATTTATCTACCTTTTAAACCTTCTTTTGACTTCCACGAATAATTCAAGACCAAAATTAGTCAAATCGGTCCAGCCGTTCTCGAGTTTTAGCGAGACTAACGAACAGCAATTCATTTTTATATATATTGAAGATAACATAGACAAGTTCAATCAAAAACTTCAAAAGACCGCACCTACCAGATGCAACCGTCTTCGAACAAAATTTCACGTGTGCACAAACGCAACGTACAAGACGACGAATTTTCAAGTTGGCATTGGCAAAGTTTAACGTATTTCGGTAAATTTGACGCCACGTAAGTTCGGTGAGCACGATAAAAGTTTCACTATTTATAAGGTACGTCTGGTAGAACGCTTCGCACATTTGCGGTAGGTTGAAAAGAGTCTGTTACGAACGCAGTTTATCGTCGGACTTTTGGACCCTTTTGACTTATTAGAAGCCTACTTGCTGTCATACTCAGGTCCATGAATATTATCTATATATTTATACGTGAAGCAAAAACTTTGTATCTCTTTTTACGAAGATTTTGCGGACGGAGGAGTATGAAATTTTCCACACCTATAGAGAATATAGAGAAGAAGTGCACAATGCTAATATTTTTTTTTTAAATAATGCCTAAAAGATACTTTAAATCAATAAAGAAAACATTACACACACTATATACCACGTATTTGACGCACGCACGCTAGCATTATGCATTATTTATTATCAAACTTTTGTTGTTGACGTCTGTTGTCAAATTGAGAATAAATTAAATATTGTTTGTCTTTGTTAGTATTTTTTACAGTGTAGTCTTGGCGAAATTTGTGATTATAGAAGTATAAACTACAATCATAATAGTGTACAAACTTACAATTCCAATTAATTATAGTCGAATTTCGACTATTGCGGGACCTCTAGTATGTATAATAATTGATTGTTGTAACAGCAAAATTAAATTCATAGATACCTCGAATACTAGCGGCACATGAACAGTATTAAAACCTTTACCAAAAAAATTACTAGATTTGGTCTTTCCAAATTATACGTAATAAAAAAGGAGCACCTAAAATAACATTATATTAAATTCGTTATCAAATGAGTTACAAAAACCAATTAACGCATATTATTTTACCACAATTAAATTTCTCAAAACCGAAATCGTTCAAGGTAAACAAACAGCAAGGCATGGGTCAGAAGAACATACAAACCGAATCCAACACGAGCTCCCGAACTATAGGACTTCAGACATCCGATGACTTTTAATAGAAACTCCGTAGGGCACTTGCGACTTTTATAAGCCTATTTCGTAAAGTTTCTGGGATCGTACAGTTGTTCTTCGACGTTCCGAGGCACTGTGGGGTATCGGAACTTAGACGAGACCCTTCAAGAATTCCGATAGCATTTGTAATCGCAGTTTTTATCGTTGTCTGCGAAATCGGTCGAGATTTCCGCCCTTAGGGTTTACGATTGATCTTTTCGACTTAAGCGTCTGTTTGATTTTCAATGAGAGTTCGAAGTGTTTAGGGTGTGGTAAGTCAATCTTATCTAAAAATAGCGACAAATTATTGTTATGAATTAGTACTGTCTGTTTTTACTGCGAAGCAATTGTGTGCTCCAGTTTCAAACGCAGGATAACTGTTGTCCCACCGTACCACCGATTTCAACTAAATATCTGAAGATAAGTCATGAATTAGTTTATAGAAGAGTAAATGAGCTCTACTATGTGTAAAATGGGTACCAAAGCACATATGTACTCATAATAACGTGAATATCACCACCCACCTCGAGACTTGGGGTCAAAATCTTAATTGTATTGAAAAACGGCTGCTTCACCATACAAAGCGAAATGCATGAGTGCTTCGCAGCAGAGATAAGCAGCATACTAGCACCTATCCGAGCTGGCTCATAATATGCCCTACTACCAGTAATTGCTTAAAAATCTCACGCATTTTCATAGAAATATGTGTATCGAACCATGGCATTTGAAAAGCGCCTTAATCGCATCACTTGACACCAGTACACCGGGCATCTTTTCCGACGAGTCCAAAGTGATAAGTATACACGGTGTGTTTTTACTGGTGGTAGGACCTCTTGTGGGTCCGCGCGGGTAGGTACCACTACCCTGCCTATTTCTGCCGCAATGCACTAATGCGTCTCGGTTTGATGAGACCTTAGAACTTATATCTCAAGATGGGTCGCGCATTTACGTTGTAGATGTCTATGGGCTCCAGTAACCCTTAACATCCGATGGGCTGTGAGGTCGTCCACCCATCTAAGCAATAAAAAAAAAGTACTACACCATAACACCGAATTGAGGGTAGATTATATTTATCGCTACCGTCAAAAGATATCCGCCAGCTACCTACCTTATTCACAAGCCTTTCCTCCCTCTGCACATTAAACTTAACAACAATTTATCAGTAAAGTTAGTATGGATAAATAGTCAAGTCTCAACTGTGGATACTCGAAACCTGTTGCCTGAACACGTAAGCCGAGATAGAGGCAATCGCCACACGCGTCATTGCACGAGCGAATCGCTTTCTGATTGTTGAGTCGATACCGGGGAAGACTTTAAGCTCTGTTTGACGAACGGACGAGTTTCGATGTTGTGACAGTTAAAAGTGTTCTTTTTTTAATACGATTTTATTAGCTTCAGACGTATGTATGTATGTTTGTAACGGAATCTTTGAACATGATTTTGACCCCCTTCATAACGTCGGATTAACTCGAAATTTAGTATACTTATTAAGGACCGATGACAATTCAATATTAGAGAAAATTGAAAAAAAATATTGAAAAAATTGAAATACAACTAAAAAATGAAAAATAAATAATAGTTTAAAAAAACTGCATGGTTATCAGTAGTTATAAATATTTTATGAACAGATATGAGTAGAAGGGTTATTTTGATAATATCCTGAAAAGCACCCCACGCGTTTTTACAATAAAATCATTTATTCTTACACTATTTTTAATTCAAATTTATTAAGATTTATTTTCTATTTTTAGCGGGATTTTCTATAAATACGTATTTTTTTTGCTTTTTTTTAAACTATTATTTATTTTTATTCCGCTTCGTATTCAAATTTAGCATTCACAAACGCCTTCCTTTTGGACATACAAAGCTTTCCACGTTCACAGAAACACAAACAAGAGATTACCGATAATCTGTATCCTGACCATGAAATATCTTTAAGAGAATTCAAAGAGGTTGAATTAATCCCGTTAAGCGCGCTTGGCAAATCATGAAGTCTGTGTTTGTCTGTCTGTTTCATGCAAGAGAAATAGTCCAATAGTGACACAGCTTTACGAGTTTTCTTTACGAGTTTTTTTTTAATTGCTTAAGTGAGTGGACGAGCTCACAGCCCACCTGGTGTTTAAGTGGTTACTGGAGCTTATAGACATTTACAACGTAAATGCCGCCGCCCACCTTGAGACATAAGTTCTAAGGTCTCAATATAATTACTGCTTCACAACAGAAATAGGCGGGGTGGTGGTACCTACCCGTGCGCACTAACAAGAAGTCCTACCACCAGTAATTACGCAAATATAGTTTTGCAGATTTAATTTTTATTACACGATGTCATTCTTTAAAATTGATCCTTCAAAATTGGTACCCGCCTGCGGGATTCGAACACCGGTGCATCGCTAGATACCAATGCACCGAACGTCTTATCCTTTAGGCCACGACGACTTCAAAATCGAGTTTAATCAGGACGCGCACAACACAATATTAGGACTCGTATTATTTAAATTCAACTCACCACAGTGATGGGATATGCCGGATTGATGATGGTGTAGAGCAGTATGTGGTTCGGCCGCGCCGGCAGCTTTCGTTTGCGGCATGGCTCGCCGGCCATGTAGTTGTTGCCGTTGCTCTGTAACAAAAAAAAACAAAAGAAAATCAATATCAAGACTAATCTTGTTCAAAAGGGAGAGAAGAAGCACTGGTGAATCATCGTCATCGTCACTCAATCACGCGTTTATTCGTTTCATTATAATGGGGTTCGGGATAAATAAAATTCCACCAAAGTACAACCAAAAATTGTATTCGACACTTAGAACACTCAAGACAATTCATTACACTTTAAAATTCTCAATTCGCTTCTTTCGCTTCGCTTCAGGTGATCCGTTCGCTGTTTCGCTTCGAGTAGTTCCGATTACTAACTGACTGCATGCCATCCCTGCAACGCTTTTATAGTCGATACCACATCCCTAGAGTTATCGAGAACATTCCACACATCTTTAGTATTATGTTTTCGCTATCTGACAATAGATGGCGTTGTACTTTTCGAGCATTATAGGTGCTACTAGATCCTTCGATACTTGTTCGACTATTCGGCGATAAATGGCGTTACTCTTACCGGCGTAACAATATTATTTACGACGTTATTTTTACATTTTTCACAGTCACGAATGATCAATCGTTAGGATGTAATATAATATTATAATAAACGCAAAAATACTACATACATTGTTATTGTACACTAATAAATATGCATTTTATTTTCTATGAACGGCGATAAAACGTAACCTCTGGAATGTATGAAATGTAATAATAATTTTTTTATGCATTTTCCATCAAATTTATGTATTTCATCGTCCAATGGTGACAGCAAAATTTCGACATCCATCTTTATACTTTCGCAATCTCAATGCAATCAACTTGCGTCTTTAAATGAGAAGCCAAAATATTCCACACTAAATAATATTAACGTGAAAATCTCCTTCATTCAATCACAAACCGAATATCGTAATACACGCAGAGCTCATACCAATCAAAAGCTCGTAGAAAATTTTATGTGCGCGTATTCAAAGTGTTTATTCAGAGGCATAAATTTAATTTACGGAAGACGTCTGTTTGACAGTAGTAAAAGTCATTTCTGTTCGTTATATGACAACATCAAATGGCTGTACTGATAGACATTTTAAACACTTAGCGGTATTTGTTTGTCGAAAGATTCAACTATAGATTCTACTGGCCGTACTCGCCCGCTTCTTCGCTGGGCATTTAAAATTAACATTATTATTTATTGTTATTTATTTATATTTATTTAAAATCTTATTAGTTACATAATATTTTTTAAAAAAGATATTAAAAATACAATTTTTAAAAAACATTATATAAAAATAGATTACCGCTGATGGCGGTGTCTACGACACAAGCCACCAGTGGTTAGGACTCCAGAGTGAGAAACCTCCTCACAATGCGTGCAGTATCGAGGACAACTGCTTTCTGTATTAAGCCCTTAACCCAGCTGGATAACGAAAGTTTCTTAAGATGTTGATCGAAACTTTTCGCAATCAAGCCGTGTACCGACACAACTATTGGAACAATGATGGAACAATGATGAATATCAGGTTTATTGGCTACAATATACCTATCCGTGATAATAGATCGGTCCCAGTAGAGCGTGACATGACCATTATCAAGAACTGGTTGAGGTTGGTATTGGTAATAAGGTACAGCAGAATCAAGAAAACCATATTTCAAAGCAAGTTGTTGATGGATAATCCTAGCCACTTGGTTATGTCTATGCAAGTACTCGCCGTTAGCAAACCGAGAACAGCCAGAAACAATATGTCTAATAGACTCTCCCGGACGGTGGCATGCCCGACAAATGTCGACCGTCCCATTGTTATTATTATTATCATTATTATCATTAGGGAGTGCAACACTCATATAAATATTAGCCTATCCATTAAGTACATGTATTTTCTATATGGATACCAAGTTTCAAGTCAATTCAAAATTCAAAATTCAAAATCTTTTATTTCAACTTAGATGTCAGTATAACACACTTGTTGAATGTCAAAATATAAATAACAATGTTTACTCTACCACCGGTTCCAAAAAAAGCCACAGTCCTGAGAAGAACCGGCGAAACAAACTCAGCGGGCTTTTTTTTTGTTTTTTCTCAAATATATATTCTTTTTTAAATAAGTAAAAATATTTACAATAAACGAAAGAACAAGTCAAAAAATACAATAAAAAATATATTATAATAATGAAAAATAAAAAGGCCAGGAGCGAACGCCACATTCCCGCGTAGTGCCATCTAGTAAATAATCCTTAACTTTATAATATGTCTTGTTGCACAAACGTTCCTTGACAGCTTTCTTAAATCTATGAACAGGTAGTAATTGAATGTTTTGAATCGGATGCATGGTTCAGTAGTAACATCCGTAAAAACCACTGTAGATTTATACATTAGTATAGATTGGTGGTATTCTACAGCGCGTTCGTAAGCGCCACCACCTGGATTGTCAAAAGGATTGTTAAAGGACGAGACATTCTTTATACAGTTCGTTTGAGACTTCGATCATATCGACAGGCCAAGGGATTTAGGTTTAAGCGTCATTTTTGCTAGTTTACAGGAGAGCCATTTAAAGTTTAAAATTTACAGTAATCTTAATTGAGATTCAATTAAAACTGTTTTTTTTTTGTTGACGCTAATCTATACATATAAATAGAATTAGAGTGTCATTTGTAATAATAACCGCTTTTTACTACATGTATATGAATATATATCCGGTACATACACCAAAATAATTTTTTTTACAATTTTTGTCTGTCTGTCTGTCTGTTTGTTCCGGCTAATCTCTGGAACGGCTGGACCGATTTTGATGAGACTTTCACTAATAGGTAGCTGCTGATATAAGGAGTAACTTAGGCTACTTTTTTTAGACCAGCTTCGCCCCGCGGCGTCACCCGCAGTTATTGTCGTACCGCGCGCAACATGGCGGGACTCGCCTATCAATAATAAAATTTAATGTTTCCGAAGCGAGGGCGGGTCACTAGTACCAAATAAAATGCACCTTAAATTACAAAGATAAATGTCGCGTGTTAAGGCGGAATGTAGCTGACAACCAAACAGCCTTTTATTCCTCGATATCTATTCTACAGTTTTGCTAGAACTGCCAACGAATACGCTAAGCACGTGTTCCGTGTGGTCGCGACGTGTGCGCTCCAGTTGAGAGCTGCAAACGTCATTGTACACACACGTTACAAGTCAAGACGTCAACCGAAGTCCCAACTTTCGTATCTTCAGGGCTGGCGCGTTCTTTTAATTCTACTAGTAGAAATTCCATGATAATTAATTGAAATTATAAGGTTGAACATCATTATTATAGACTATTATACTTCTATAAACAAAGATTTCGGCAAGGCTACGTTATAGACAAATAATATTAAAGACAAACAATATTAACCTATTCTCAATTTGACCACAGACTTTATGCAATAAGAAAAGTTTCACATTAAACAAATAGTATGCATGCGTGTGTGTGTCAAATACACGGTAGTGTATGTAATGTTTTTTTTTTATTGATTTAATGTATTTTTATGCATAATTTTAAAAGATATTAACGTTCTGCACTCCTTCACTATATTCTCTATAAGTGTGAGAAATTTCATACTCCTCCGTAGGCGCAATTTTCGTAAAAACGGGTACAAAGTTTTTGCTTCACGTATTAATATATTGATGATATAGTATATTCCTAGAAACATTCTAACTGACGACATGTAACTAGGAGATGTATGGAAATGGTAGTGCAAGGTAGAGGGGGAAGAGACTGTGTGAATGACGATGTGAGAGAGAGAGGAGTGAGTGTTGAGATGGCGGCTGATATGGCGATATAGAATAGAATGGAAGAGAAAAATTACCTATGCCGACCCCACCTAGTGGGATAAGGTGAAGAAAAAGAAGAACTAACGACGAATTTGATAGTTTTGAATCATAAGGTTGTTTGTTAAATTCTTGAATTATTCTGGACTTATGATGAAATTGGTAGATGTAAGATTTGTCTCTTGTAGATTGGTCAGAATTATTAATCTAATTGCCTATTGTACAAAGAGTTTGTTTTTGTTTCATTTTCAAAGAGAAGTTGAGATTGATCGATGGCATGATGGCATGTTAGTGACAGAACCAATATAAGCATTTAAGAATTTTGGTCGCAAAGTTTCTTACTGAAAACGCCTTGCCCCGTTTTTTGTTCCTTTCAACTGTCAAGGCAACTATTCAAATCTTACTTTATGTTTAATAATAAGGAAACTTTAAGGGGTTTTTTTTTTTCCGGGCCGAGGGCCGAACCTCCTACGAGGTCCCCGCGCCTAGGGGGCGCGCGGGGTATGTGAGACTCAACGATCTGCAGGTGTTGAGAGCAGACCGCGGGCCCAAGGAATTTAGGGCCCACCCACTAAACGACTCCCCTGCACTCTTACACCCGGCGTCCGATCTCCGTCCGGGGTCAAAACCCGGTCAGAGTAGGGNTGAATGACGATATGAGAGAGAGAGGAGTGAGTGTTGAGATGGCGGCTGATATAGAATAAAAAGGAAGAGAAAAATTACCTATGCCGACCCCACCTACTGGGATAAGGTGAAGAAAAAGAAGAACTAACGACGAATTTGATAATTTTGAATCATAAGGTTGTTTGTTAAATTCTTGAATTATTCTGGACTTATGATGAAATTGGTAGATGTAAGATTTGTCTCTTGTAGATTGGTCAGATTTATGAATCTAATTCCCTATTGTACAAAGAATTTGTTTTAGTTTCATTTTCAAAGACAGAAGTCGAGATTGATCGATGATGGCATGTTAGTGACAGAACCAATATAAGCATTTAAGAATTTTGGTCGCAAATTTTTCTTACTGAAAACGTCTTGCCCCGTTTTTTGTTCCTTTCAACTGTCAACGCAACTATTCAAATCTTGCTTCATGTTTAATAATAAGGAAACTTTAAGGGGTACCTAATTTAAATTATAACTGGAACGATGTATTTTAAGTGAGACGCGTTTCAGTCAACGAAATCGCAGCACACGACATGAAAACCTTCTTGTCGTGGCCGCCGGTAATTACATACCCGATCCTGCGGACC